TTGCTCAATTTGAATTTCATGCATTTTCTCAAAATTGTCCACTTGCACCAACCATAACTCACTTAATTTTTTAATATGAAGGTGATCTTGGACTTTTTGGAAACTTCAATATGTCCCCTACAATATTTATGTTGGTAATATTTCCATTTGAAGACTTTAACTTGATGTAAATTGCTTTGACACAAGATGTTTTTTTGTTGACTTTTAAAGTGACCTGTAATGTTTTGGCTTATATCTCTCAAATGAAGCATTTTTGGTCTTGAGCTTAGAGAGACAAAGTTGTAGAGAATTTAATTTTCTTAAAAATGAGCTTTGGTTGAGAATCTTCTGATGAAGCATGTGAAAGTTATGCTTGGTCAAAGTTCAGTTGACTTCTCCTTAAGAAAACCCTAATTTAGTAACTTTTGACTTTTGATGAATCTTGACTTTTCTTGATGAATCCTAATCAACCCTTGATCAAATGATGAATGTGACTTCAAAATCTTGATGTTTACCAAAAAATGTTTAATTTTGATTGTAAATTGGTCAAAGTTGATTTTTTGTCCAATATAGTTGATTTTCAATCATCTGACTATTTGACTGAGCAAACTTGTACTGTAAGACTTGAAATTTGGCATGAGGATACCTTAAGACATATGATAAACTATGAAATCCACTTGAGGCATTAGAAGTCCAATTTCCTTTGAGAAAAGTGAAACCCTAGTTGTAGGTCAACTGCTTAGGAGGAGGATTTGTCTGATCAATCTTTGAGTAGTCTTGAGCCATTGAGACCTTCATGAGCATGAGGAGGTATCTTGAATTAACCTGTCTTGAATAATAGGAGAGAAAATTTTGGGGTACAATAATATGCATTGTTATCATCAAAACATATAGATTTAAACGCAGATTCAAATCTTATTTTAACAATCTCACCTTTTTTGATAAAGACAAAATCATATATTTTGATGGAACAATTTTAAAGGGTTAAATCATAAACAACATATTATAAAAGTTTATAAAATATGAGAAAAAGAAGATAGAAATTACTTTAAAAGACCAAATTGTTGAAAAAAAAATAAACTAGCACCTTATTTCAATAAAATTAAATTATTATTTTTTATTTATTTTTATAAAGTCAAAAGTTGATTGGTAAAGTGTTTCTATAAAATTTAAAATTATGAATTAACATAACAAATAAAAAATACTTTAAATATAAAAATAATTAAAAAAAACTTAAATAATATCATAAATAAATAATATCAAAAGAGTTAATAAATAATCTAGATTCACCATTACTACTAATCCTCACTCCACTTTTAGTTTTACAATGGAACAAAAGATTTGTTTGTTTTCATTTTTTTTAACTGATTTTGAAATATTACATATATTTATTTTTTAAAAATGTTTCAAATAATATTTTTTTAAATTTTTTTCTATAAATATTAAAATTATTTTGAATAATTGTTATTAATTTTAGAATATCGAATCTCACATGTCCTTATACATATGGGAAGACTCGATTGTATCGAGTAATATGAGAGATATACTCTCATTAATATTTATTATAATAGGAAATTATTTTTTAAATTTATTAAATAAGCAATTTATTTAATAAATATAAAAGCGGACTTTTTTTTATAATTAGAAGGAGTCAAGAATTTATTTTCCAAAATTACTTATTATTTTTAAAAAGTTAGACTTTTAAAAGAATAAAGTTTTAACAAGTAAACATATTTCTCAAAACTAACTTAAAGGTTAAATATTTTTTTTTAAAGAAATTAAAAGAATTCCCAAATTTGTGGAGAAAAGGACAAAATTACCTTATTTAAACTTACAACTCACATACAGAATATATAATAATCATGTATTCACTGACCATAGCCAATTGTGTGAATTAAATGCAGCATATTGTCACTACTCAAACACATTATAAATAGGATGGTTTGGTTAACATATAAAATATCAGTTATTTCTCTATAATAATAATTTCACTCACAATATTTTTCTTTTTCAATTCATCTATTGAAAAGGATTCATATAAACAAGAACATGATTATCGTCCTTCTGCTTTGTGTCCTCCTACTTGCAGGTTTGTAACCACCAATCTACTAATTATTACACATACTATATGTTAAACTTTGTTAAAGATATAGTATTTCTTTTGCATGTATTCATTCATTGATTTCTTATATATATGACACATCATTTTCTGTTCTTGAATAAATATAACACATCAATTATCAATGTAATAATGAAGAATAATTGAATAGGTTTATAACAAATCTTTTGTATTTGTTTCTTTTCTTATATATTTTTCATTAAATATATTGTTTTCTTTAATAATTTTTTAAGTTATAATGGTGTGTTTAAAATATTGAATCAATAATTTAAAAAGAGTTTAATAATATTATCACAATCTTCTGTAGATGTTAAAAAAATACTTAAAAGTAATAATAAAACACATCAAAAATATAATTGGTGTGATTAACTAATTTTACATATTGTTAATATATTAATCAAATAAAAATAGTTTTATTTTTATCAAAAGGAATAAATGTTAATTCAATAGATTATTTGATTTCAGTTTTATTTTAATTAAGTTGAATACCCATTAAAATTATTTTATTTATTTCATTTTTTAAAGAATATTTAATTTGTATTTAAGTAAATTTTTATTCATCATCATCTGATATATTTGGTGCATTAACACAATTTTCTTTTTTTTTTTGGTTTTTTACCATTATCATTATTTGATATATTTGGTGCATGAACTCAAAATTTTTTTTTGATTATTTTACCACCGGTGGAATCAAATGGTTATAATCTTTATGAAGATTAAATTGTGGTTTTCCCTATCAAATCACTGTCAATTACCATTAAATCAAAGAATTATTGATTTGTTTGATCATTTTAAACACATTTATTTGAATGTACTTTTTTCAATTGAATCTTATTCATTAATTGAAAAGTCTAATTAATGTTTTGTTTATTTATATCATTTAAATATAGTAGTAATCAATTATTGATGATTTTCAATTATTGATAATTTAATGATATATGAGGTTATATGAAAATCATATTTGATTCTTTCATAATTCAGGTTCTTCAAAAAATTATTTGCATAATCATATATGACAAGAAAAATGGGTCCCCTATTGAACGTCACCTCGTATATCATTAAATTATCAAATTTTTAATAATCTTAATTAAAAATGTGTGAAAGAATAATAGAAAATATTTACACGAACATAGAGTGGATTTAGAAATAATTAATTATAAATTTTTTTATTAATTAAATATATATTTTTTTTAATTACAACCCTTATAATCTAAATTAAAAAATAAAATAAATTTAAAATTTTCTTTTTCTTTATTAGTTGTTTATAAAAATGTGTATTTGTAGACGTTTTCAAGTATTTTTAAAAAATGATTGTAATTGTGATGCGAATAAAAATTTGTGATTTATTCTTTATTCTTTATCACAACTATATCCCTTATGATCTAAATTAAAAAATAAATTAAATTTAAAATTTTCTTATTCTTTATTAGTTGTTCTACAAATATGTATTTATAACATGCAAGTATTTCTCAAAAATAATTATAATCGTGATGAGAATAAAAATTTGTGATTTATATTATTTTCAATATATTACTTTTTTTAGTATTAATTCCCTTTTAATGTTTTTTTTCCTTCTTTTATAATATGACTACAGATTCTTAATGCCATCATAATTATTATATTTTTTTTTATCACATGTCATCACAATTATTGTTTCCTCAAATATTATTCAAATATATTTATTTAATTTATTTCACTAATCTATTTTTATTATTATATTTATAGAGTTGGAAATGAGTTTGAGTCGAAATCGTCTCAATTCAGTTCGACTTATTAAGAATTAGATGAGTTTTAGTTCATCACAAACTTTTTTCTCCAACTCAAACCCGATTTATTAAAAATTGGCTGAGCTCGAGTTTGGGTTATCACAAATTTTTTAAAGTATTATTTTTTATATATATAGATGACATTTTAAATTAATATTTTTTAAAACTTATATAAATAATTAACTTTAATGATTAATATTAACTTTGATGAATAATATGATAATTAAAATAATCTTATTTATTCTTGTGTTCACAAGAACTATAGACAATATTTTTAACTTTTATATAATATAAGTTTCATCTTAAAATAATATTTGTAATTCAAGATATTATCATTAAAAGTAGATAATATGAACATATAATAAAATGTTATAACTTAAGTTTGTAACATATATTTTACTATGTTGAATTTCGATTTTTTTTAATCAATAGAATTGTAAATTATTTTATCATCTTTCAAATAATATAAATAAATAAGAAAATTAAGTATTGATGTCTTCATGAAATTTATATATTGAATTAGTTCATGAACCAAATAAATCGAATTATATATAGTTCAAGTTCAACTCATTTATTTTACGAACTTAATTTTGAACTCAAATTTAACTCATTTGGTTTATGAACCAATTTCAACAAATTAATTATCGAATCTCATTTATTTTACGAACTTAATTTTGAACTCAAGTTCGACTCATTTAGTTCATGAAACAAATCCAACAAATTAATTATCGAATCGAATCTCAAACTAATTTCGAATTAATTCGATTCGTTATCAACTCTACATTTACGTGTCCTTGTTCAAATATATTTATTTAATCTATTCCGCTAACCCATTCAATTTATTCTTCATTATTACATTTATGTGCCATTATTCAAATATATTTATTTAGTCTATTCCACTAACCTATTCAATTTATTCTTCATTATTACATTTATATATGTGTCATTATTGCACTAATTTCTTTTTGTTAAATCTATTCCACCTAACTATTATAATTGTGATGTGATTAAACAGTTGTAATGATACAATAATACAAGTCCGATTCCAAAATTTGGTGTCAACTTAGCATTCTTGATAATTTAAAGACTTTTTATTGATTTTAATAGTTTAGAGACTAAATTAAGAATGAGTGAACATGAAAACTAATATAAACAGCATATTTACCACAGGGTTTGAAGCTGAATCGTTATCCTATGATTACAGTGCCAGCATTGAAGTAAGTTCTCTATAACATACAATATTTTCATATAAAATTTCAATCTAATCTTTTTTGGTGTTACTTGTTTTGATTTTCAGTGTTTAGCACATCCAGAAAAGCCTCTATATAATGGAGGAATCATTCAAAATCCACAACTCAATGATGGATTACAAGGTTGGACAACGTTTGGGGAAGCAAAGATTGAACATCGAGAATCATTAGGCAACAAATTTTTGGTAGCGCATAGCAGAAAACAACCGTATGATAGTGTCTCCCAGAAGATTTATCTAAGAAAGGGATTACACTATACTTTATCTGGTAATTTTGTTGTTAATATCAGTTTTAGTCTATAATTTGTTGTGTTTTTTTGAATCAATGTTTGGATTACACTATAATGCAGCTTGGATTCGAACGACGGAGGAAAATGTTGCGGTAACAGCATTGGTGAAAACAAGTAAAGCATATAAGTTTGGTGGTGCAATTTATGCTCATTCTAATTGTTGGTCTATGCTTAAGGGTGGTCTTATAGCAGATGCAACAGAAGAAGCTCACCTCTATTTTGAGGTACATTCTATATGCTTAACCTTTAATTTAATCAAATTGTAAACTAGGAAATTTCATTTAATAATAATGGTGAATTTTGTAGAGCAATAAGACTTCAGTCGAAATTTGGATAGACAATATTTCCTTGCAACCATTCACGAAAAAGCAATGGATGTCTCACCAACGTCAAAGTATTGAAAAGGTAAACATGATGGAGTTGATGAAGTTGATAAATAAAAAGAATAAAATGCATATCGAGTTCGAGTTTGATTCCATCTTTGCAGGCTCGCAAGAGGAAAGTGGAAATCGAAGTGGTTGATGAACAAGGAAACCCTTTATCAAATGCAAGTATATCTGTTACATTGAATAGAGGAGGTTTTCCATTTGGATGTTCAATGAACAAAAACATCCTCAACAATAAAGGATACCAAGATTGGTTTGCATCTAGGTTTACCGTTACCACATTTGAAAACGAAATGAAGTGGTACACAAATGAATATGAACAAGGTAAGGAAAACTACAACGATGTCGATGGAATGGTACAATTTGCAAAAAATCACAACATTGATGTCCGAGGCCACAATATAATTTGGGACGATCCTAAATACCAACCGAAATTTGTATATTCACTCCCACAAAACCAGCTTTACCCTGCAGTTAGTAAGAGGGTAAATTCCATTGTTCAAAGATACAAGGGTCAAGTTATTGGTTGGGATGTTGTTAACGAAAATATGCATTTCTCATACTTTGAAAATAAACTTGGGAATGATTTCACACCCAAGATATTTAGTCAGGTTCACGACATCGATCCACCAACCACATTGTTCTTGAATGAATACAATACTATTGAGGATAGTAGAGATGGTGCATCAAGTCCACCGAAATATCTCCAGAAGATAAAAGAGATTCAAGGCTATAACAAGAATATACCTCTTGGAATCGGACTCGAGGCTCATTTCCCTAACGGTTCGCCTAATTTGCCTTACATGAGAGCTTCCATTGATGCTCTTGCTGCCACTGGTTTACCAATATGGATAACTGAAATAGATGTTGAAAGCCAAAATAATCAGGTAGGGTACTTTGAGCAAGTTCTTAGAGAGGCACACTCTCATCCAATGGTTAAGGGTATTGTAACATGGACAGGTTGGAATCCACAAGGTTGTTATAAAATGTGTTTGGTTGATAACAATTTTAATAATTTGCCTGCTGGTGATGTGGTGGATAAACTACTTAGAGAATGGGGGAATACAAAACTAACAACGAGAACTGACCAAAATGGATTCTTCGAAACCTCTCTATTTCATGGTAACTATGAGTTGGAAATAACTCACCCTACTAAAAAGAATTACACTTTGACTCATAAAGTACATGTGCATTCAAAAGATGAGTCCAAGAAAACAAGACAACTTATAAAACTTTCTATTTAGTTTTTTGGTTGCTTAAGATTTACGGTGTTAAATTATTGTTGATTTTGTTATCATTTAAATTTAAATATATATATATATATATATATATATATATATATATATATATATATATATATATATATATATATATATATATATATATATATATATATATATATATATATATATATATATATATATATATATATATATATATATATATATATAACATAGAAGATAAATAAAAGCGCATCATGTTTATGATTTCCCTTCAATTAAATGTACTAATTTTATGATCTCTTAAAGTTGAATCAATTTCTTCCATCTTACTTAAAAATGTCAATTTGATCCACTAACTCATTTAAACTTACAACATTCAACATTTTATTTTGTTACTTTTTCACATAAATGTTATTGATTTACTATGTTAATTTTATGATTTAGCTCAATAACGGATAGGCAAAATGCAGGTTTGGGACCTTAACGGATTTGGCGTTGCTAATATTTTAGAAGTGATGTTAAGTTTAACCTCATCAAGTACAATTTGGATTGAATTGAAAGAACTCTTACTTTCTTAAGTTTTTCATTAGGAATTTTGTAATTTAATATGATATTATCAGACTTCAAGATCCTTCTTCCGCTACACTTTCTCTGGTTTTCTCATCTTTCCTTCACAATGTCGCCTCGTCTTCAACCTACCAATTCAATTTTGAATCAATCAACTCCATATTTTGTTCATTATAGTGATGGACCCTCTTCAGTTTCTTTTACAACAAAATTGATTGGTTCCAACTACCATACTTGAGCTCGATCGATGTGACACGCTGTTGGTGTCTTTTTCATTCCTTCCAACACCTTCAATATACATCCTATCATTATTGGAATCACTGCAGCATGTTTGTTCACTCATGGATCTTGAACTCAGTCTCCAATTCTATCGCTCAACCCATTGTTTTCATGGAGAGCTGGTTCTTCACCTATGACTAAAGACCAATGTGAAGTTCTATTGAATCTCCCTCACAAAACTAGCCTTGGTTAAGTTTCAGGAATTACATATTCAAATCAAGGCGACTGATTCTCAACTTTGCTCATCCATATGTAGGTATGCATAATAATACTCATTTCTCCTTACATAATTGAGCTATTGGTTTTTGCATCTATATTTAAGAGCTAGTGGTTGTTAGACAATGTGATCGATCTAGAAGGGGGGGTTGAATAGGTCTTTTAAAGTAATGTACACTTTTTAAAATTATTTTCAGAAAAATATGCGAAAGCTTCCTGGAATCTCCAATCGTCTAAACGATCCTCTATTGAAAAGATCGGATATGCTTAACCGTATGAGATGTAATGGAAAAATAAGAATCAATGTGTTTTACTCAATTAATCAATCACTTATACACCCTCAATGATTATTAATTACTATCAATGAGTTGAATAAGATAATGATAAGCACAATGAATAATTTGTGGATTAGTCAATTTGTCAAACACCTTGTGAGCAAATCACTTTAGGTTTGGTTTTACTAAATTGTAGTGGTGAGTTTTCTTAGGTATCAATCAAAAGGATTGTTACCAATATTTTAAAATGAACTCAACACACTACAATTTTAATAAATACAGATTTGACAAATTAATTTTCACACAATATAGTAATCAAGTATAGAGATAAAGAAAAAGCAGAAGAACACATAATTTGTTAAGGCAGTTTCCCTTGTCGTCCTCGCGTAGGGTACGTCTGCCCCCAATTCTAGAATATAGAATTGAGATATTTGATATTAAGTTGCAAACGATACAAGAGAAGAGATAGTTCACAATACAAACAAACCAATGTTGCTGAAGTAACAATCTTCTTCCCTTTCCTTGGTTTGAGCAAAACCAAGTGCCAAATTCATCGAACAAACCTCCGGTTACCGCTACTTGATTAAGCAAACCCACTGTTTCTTAATCCTTTCACTCGGCTGGTTTCGATTGCAAGCAATTTGACCCCAAATCAATCTTCACAATTCTCTGGTTACAGCTACTTGATTAAGCAAACCCACATTTCTTAATCCTTTCACTCGGCTGAATTCAATGAAGCAAAGACTTGTGCAAATCCCCCCGCACAAATAGGAATCTTGGAGGAGAAAATCCCAATATGATTTTATTCAAGAACAACCCACAATTGCTCAACCCAAATCTAAATTGAATTCTTGATTTCAACGTTATCACCACAACAATTTTCTTGAATCAACAACCATGATTATGTGTAGATGTTGATTTTTGAGAAGAGAGGATGGAGATGAAGAGAACTATGTGTATCTTTCACTAGTTCTTATTAACTTGCCATAATGATGCATAATAAGTATATATATATATATATATATATATATATATGTATATATATATATATATATATATATATATATATATATATATATATATATATATATATATATATATATATATATATATATATATATATATATGTATATGTATATATATGTTACCTAATAGCCAAGACCCACAAACATAGCAGAAAATCAGATGAGGCTAGCGAGCGGTTGACTCAACCAGAAGCAGGGGTCGGTGCGACATAACCCGCACCAGGAGAGAAAATTGTTTTGAAGTGCAATGCGTCAGCCGCTTTAGGACTTGCGTCGATGCAAACATTAAATATTCTGATTCCCAGGTTTAGTCGACTGGAAGGGTCGACGCGATACATCCAGCAGTCAGAGAGAATTCCATTTTAAAGTGAGGTGCGTCGACCGCTTCAGGGCTTGCGTCGACGCAAATTTTGAATATTTTGATTTCCAGTTTGATTCAACCGGAAGGGTCGACCTGATACATCCAGGACTTGATTGAAGATGATGAGTCGACCGTACATATCTTTGAGTCGACGCACAAATTGGATTTTCTCAAAAATACTTGTTTCTAGAGATCTTCATTCCAATCATTTCATTGCAAGATTGTTCATAGGACCAACCCAAAATAGAGAGAGAGAGAGAGAGAGAGAGAGAGAGAGAGAGAGAGAGAGAGAGAGAGAGAGAGAGAGAGAGAGAGAGAGAGAGAGAGATTAATAGTCGTTTTGACATCATTAAAATACTTATAGAGGAACTTTTCCCTCACATACTCCCCCTTTTTGATGATGTCAAAACAATGATCAAATATGCTCCCCCTGAGTTTGTGCGTTCCGTTTCCAAGCTATGTATAGTCTTCTATGTTTACTTCCCCCCCCCCCCCCCCCCCCTTTGACAATATCAAAAAGAGAAAAAGCACAAGGTCAAGAGTAACAAAATATATCAAGTGTAACATTATTTTCCATTTGCAACTAAGAACACCAACAATCATTCACATAAAATGAAATTAGTGTGGATCATGAAAATGCAATAATTAGACCAATGTATGTAGAATATTACAAACCATTCAATAAGGATAAGTGCATGAGGATAAAAAAATATAAGAACTTAAACAGAATTGCATATATATAAACACGAATCAATTTTCTAGGTTGTCAGTATCTTTGTTTTCAGGAGCATCAGGTGGAAGGTTTGGAAAATGCTGAAGGAAGGTGGTGTAATACCCCAAATTTGTCCTACCCTTCTATGGGGATCGTCTGGCTTATACTTTTCATAAATTTCATTTGCATACTTTTACATTAGGTCATATAACACATCATGCATGATCAATAAACTTGGCATTGGGACCAAGAACTTTGCAAATTAGGGTTTAGGTTCACTCTTTATGGATTTCTTCTGCATCAAGATACAAGGTTTTTCCATCCAAATTCATTTAGGCCAGAGATTAGGGGTTCAACTGAGTTCGATTACATCAGGGTTTTGTTTCTCCGTCATCATGAGGTCTTCTCTTCAACATCCAGGGTTTTGAGCGAGTTCATCGTTTTATTGTGCCTAGGAATTGAGGTTTATTTCCTTAATTTTGAGGCATTCAAGAGGGTTTCAATTATTAATTGAAATGCAGGTTTTTGAAGGGATCTTGAGGTATTCATGACACACTAAGGTTCTGACTCAAGGGTACATAATCATGCCATATGTTGTACCCCAAAATTTGCCCTCCCATATTCATCAAGAATTGCTAAGTCAAGGTCACAAAATTCCCCAAGGGTTGTACAGCTCAACTGTCTCCTATACAGTCAAAACTAGGGTTTGAGTTCTGATCAAGCAAATGAACTTTTCAAAGGCCCAATCAAGTCCCACATGCCTACAAAGATGGTCAAGTATCCTCATGTCAAGTTTCAAGGCATTCAGCTCAAAATTGCACAGTCAAAACCCTAGATTGCACTACAGTCAACTGTAGGGGCAAAATGGTCATTTGACAGTCAAAAGTTCAAATTTTTGGCCAATATATCATTTTGAAGCCACAAACATCATTTGATCAATGCTTGATCATGATTCTCAAAATTTGGCTCAGAAATCATCAAAGATGCAAAAGTTGCTATATTTGGACAGCTGAAAAAGTCAACTGAAATTGACCAGGGCATAACTTTCACATGGATTATCAGAAAAATTCCATCCAAAGCTCATTTTGAAGAGAAGGACATTTCCTACAATTCATTTTCATGTTCCAAGTCCAAGAAATGCTCTCACAAAAAGTTATCAATTTCAACATTATAGGTCATTTTCAAAAGTCAACAAAAAGTGACTTTAAGTCAAAGGCCATAACTTGAGATTGGTAAATCAAAATGACATGGGACCAAAGGCATTGGTTAAAGGACTCAAAGACCTTTCCAAAATGTCCAAGAACATGTGGAAAGCTTAAAAATTGACCAAGTTATGCCTTGTGGAAGTTGGGAAATTTTTGGAAATTTTTGAAAGTCAACATTGATGCAAAAGGCCTAAAAATGCAAATGGGCCCAATTTTCTTCCAAGTTTCTTCATGCCAAGCCTATGCACGACCACTAGGCCCAAAGGGAAGTATTTTCATATTTTTTAATTATTTATTTGAATTAATATTAATTTATATTCATTTAAATGATTTTAATATATGAAAAATATCAAACCTAACCTAAAAAATCTTTTTATGCAC